AAACAGCACTAATGATCAGTTGAGAGCAAAGTCTGATAACAGTTTTGAAAAAACAGAATTTTGCTCTGACAGGCAAAATACTTATTGAAGGGTTTTACTTTGCCGTCCGCCAGCTTAATATTACTGTCAATGTGCTAATGTATTACAAATATTTTTTTCCACCAAATATGCTGAAATATTTTTCTCCCACAACATTAATTTAATGACACAGGCTGAAAGACTAATTGATATTAGTGAGCAATGAAATTTCAGCATATTATTTCCCCTGTATTTCAGATATTAATGGGCAAGCAGAAGTTTTAGTGAATGGGTTCCTTTATGTTTTAACAGGCAGTTTTCTGGCCCAGACTCCAATGTCTAACAAGCACAACTGCAATACATTTTTAATTGACAAATTCACATATTTTTTATAAACAAAATGACTTAACTAACAAGCAATGGCCAGGTAAAGGATTTAAAAAACCTTTTTCTATGGAGATTGTTACTTAGAAATTATGTTGTCGCCATAGCAAACATTTATGGGTGGTTACTTAATGAAAAAAGAAGTTACATTGTTAAATACTACTTCACTTGAGTTTACTCTTCTTTGTTCCAGAACAGATAAAGCACAGTGATCAGTCAGTTGTATGTGTCCAACAGCCCCGCAAGAGCCTTGTGGAAATGTATAAAACAAGCAGTGATACAGTCCTTTGCCAAACACTGTCATAAATTTTTTATTTGGCAGCTAACATTCTCACTACTTTTCTTGGCAGCTATTGGGACCTTTAGCAAGAAAGGTGCAGGAGAAAAATACCTTGTTTAGAGATGTTTTCAGCACTTTCTGGGATTTTTCAGAACTTCTGCCTGCAGCACATTTCTACAACCACAGTCTCCAATCACCTGATGAGTAGCTGGTGGTTTTTAACTTTTTTTTTTTTTTTTAAATATAGACAGCTTACTACCCCCTCTGGCCTTCAACCCAGAACACAGCCTGCTGCTGCTGCTTCTTTTTTTTTTTTTGGTATGTATCTCTGGAACACAAGTGGTTGCTCCTCTCTGTCTAGACAAAAACTGAAAATAATATCAGAATGTACCTTTCATTGCTCCTGATACTATCTGTATCATATTCCCAGATGACAGAGATAAATGAAAGGCAAACATGTGCTGATTACTTTTGCATTTTTCTTCAGAGATCTCTACAAAAACTGGTCACAGGTGCAGCTCCGTAGGTCAGTCGGAGGACTGACTGATAAATAGAATCATGAAATAGATTTCTGCACCCAGACCCACTCCTCATATTATTGTTTAAAAAACTCCACTAAATTTGACATCCGATACATGATTTTTTGCAGTGCTGGCAAATCAGTTACTGTGCTCGTGTACATACAGCTGCTGGCCTTCCTGGACATGCAGTGTTGTGTCCTTGCTTATAAAGCAGGGAATTAAACACTAAATCATCAACAGTCACTGAATTTAAAACATCACTTGTAGTAATATTGTATTTTGTGCATCACTTCTATGCTGAAAACTATGAAAGATCTACCCATTTCAAATTTCAGTGACTGCCTAATGTACCCACCTAACAATGATGAATATATTTTGGCTCTTGTTTCATGCCATTTGAAATCACAGTCTCTTTTAAACAGGTGTGAAGAAACAAGTAGACATTTTTTTAAGAGTCAGGAACATTCAATCTCTGTAGGTTTTTGTCTGACATTGCAATGTATGGCATCAGAGTTTTCTTTAAACAAGAGTGCTTATTAAAGAACACAGCTACAACTACAGACATAAAAGGAATAGACTTCCACACAGTTTACATTCCAGTTTTGTCTCCCTTGTTTACCAGGGGCTTCATGTCTTTGGAACTATATATAGCACACAGAGACCTCTAGTGGTTCAAGAAAATATTGCAAATAAGCATGTAATTAAATTTAATGTAACTCCACTGAAGTAAATGAAGTTATGCCAGGGATGAAATGGGCCAATTCTGTCTCCCGTGAATAGAGATGAACAAATTATGCTTAAATAGAATTAACCTTTTTAAGCCATTTCATACAAACATGTCATTTTTTGGTGCAAGAGTCTTCTTCTGTGCATCTCCTGTCCTTTAGAAACACCTGCCTGTCACTTACTGCTTCCTTGAATCTATTCAAATCACAATCTAACATTTTTTTCCCTTTTGGTTACTCTCTCTGCTATTATTTTTTCACTTAATAAATAATACTTCTACCTAGCTCTTACATAGTGCTTTTTATCGGTAGATCTAAATGCATACAGTAGTTTAATTAAAAAACTTTGTTTCAGAGCCTGTTTCTCTGAAAGTTGTCATGGATAACAAAAACTGATTGGACAGTGTCAGGGAAATGTAACTTTATGAAAAATAATAATCAAAGAGAAAAAAACCCAGCATGACATGAAGAAAAAAAAAATTAGCTCATGGAGGGTGAGGGTTGGATTCTCTAGGCCACTAAGTCAATGGGCATTGTATCAGGCCCTGTATTTTTTAAAGAATGTAAACATTACAGAATCTTACATTATGAGTTTATGGGCCTAATTCTGCTCCGTGTTACGCTGTTCTAAATCAACAAACTCAATAGAGTTACACCACCTCAAGATAGAGTCAGGCTCTAGATCCCAAGGGCAGAACTTGTGCTAGGGATATGAAACAGATGTTGCATTCCTCATTTATTTGTTTGGTAAACTTCAGATCAATAGAACTTTTCAGAGGGCAATTCAGTGTTATATTTGTGGACCTTCCTTTTTATTGCGTGCGTGCGAGAGAGAGAGAGAGAGAGAGAGAGAGAGAGAGACAGACAGAGAGAGAGACAGAGAGACAGAGAGAGAGAATATGCACAGTGTTTGCATTAAAACTGGGAAAGGATCTCTCTTTTTTAAACTTTACTTGAGCTATGCACAAATCCCTTGGGGCAAAGAGAAAGCCAGCTATTTGTGGATGGGAAAAAGGGCTTTTGTGAGCTGCAGAACTTGTACCACTGAAAACTGCTTTTTTTAAAAAGTAATTTTGTACTATTTTAGGAGAAAATATGGGTAAATATTTCAGGTTTTGCATGCTGCCTCATTAATAAATTTAGCAGTAAAACATTAAGTTCCCTCAGTTTGCTGCTCCCCAGAAGTTTATTAATACTCTCTAGGACAAGTAAAAAAATCAAGAAATGGGGAAGGCAATTCCAAACTGCTTGCTCAAGCAAATCTACCAAAGGCTTAAACTCATTTCAGAACACTGAAATTTGAGACGCCATATCAAATAAGCAGCTCTTTTCCCCTAAAGAGTAGAAACTGGGTGTAGCTAACCTAGTGCATAATAGGTTTATTCTCATTCACAAAACAGGAATTACTTTATGGCCTCAAAGTAAAACTAGTATAAGAAATATGCTAGCAGATTTGCTGCAGATGTGTGCTGTGACACGTATGCAGAGAATCTGTTATTAATCCCATGCTAAGATTTTAATAGGCGGAAGGTTCTGAATGAATAAAAAGTAAACAAAAAAGGGTCTGAAGTTTAAGATGGTCAAGTCTATTTTCAGACTGCATCAGTTTAATTCATTGATTCTAGGGCATTCTCATCTCGCATTGCTTACAATGTCTACTGTGTGTTTCTTTTGGTGAAGGTACTCAACCTCTTTTATTGCAACACATGACAATTTTTGGTGAAAGTGCAGCTTGTCAACTCTCTCATTTACCAGACTGTGACAGGAATGTTCTTGCGAGAGGGTTTGTTTGGGAGAGCTCTGGATACATACCGAACAGGAAATAGTCTGTCTCAAATGCTGGAAAACCTGAATCTTTTACCTGAATCTTTCAAAACTTGTGTCAGAACACAAGTAGAGCCTATATTATCTGCACAAGGGTAATGATTATTATGGGCAATTATACCATGGAAATGCATGACTCTGACCAAAGTATCAATCAAATGATTTTTTACAATTTCAGTTCACCCCTAAAATTTTCCTTACTTCCAGAGCCAGATGGATATTATATTAACAAAGCTGTTGAAAGGGTGTAACACTAACCATGAAGCCAAAGGCCACTAAAACTATGCAATGCATAAATTTTTATTGTTTGCTCGGTATTGAAATCTCATTAGGGCTCATAATTCTTCTGCACACTGCGAACATTTGCATCTGCTGATCATGAGAACTTAGATGGAATGTATATCTTTGGCTAACTTACTTACGTTTTTTGATGAGAAAGTGTGTGTTGCTTTTTTTAAAAGCCCTTACACAGCTGTGATTTAAAGGTCCACTTTTAAAACAAAATATATTAAAACTTTAACTTAAAATATCTCAAGGTTGTTTTATTGCTGGCAACATCTACAATCATCATGTACAAAAGATTCATCTGACTTAGTATTCAGAATATCATTGTTTGAAAACTGTGCCCCATAGAGCATTTCCCTTCATTTATCCTTTCTGCTTTATGCGGTCACATTTTAATTAGATTAGAATTTGTCCTCCAATTAGCTTTCATTAAACTCTACAGATTACAGCAAAAATCTCCACTGAGTTATGCTTCAAAATTGTGCCTAAAGTTTAAAATAAAATAACTGTGCAAATGAAGTGATTATGAAGATTATTACTATGCAAAAAACATCAGTCATTTCCTGGTTTACTTGTACGTTAAATGCTGTAATTTATTTTGCCGTCTTCAATACCTCTGCATTCTCCAGAGAAGTAATCATGATTCATAATACCTCACAGTTATAGAATTCCTTTAATTCCCAAGTGTCCTTAGGGGCCTGATTCTGCAATCCCATCAGTGAAACTGATCAAGTGAATGCTATTCAGTGCAAGGAAGGGATGTGAATTAGACCCCAACTACAAGCCTAATTACGACACTGGCAGATTAGTAATCATAATACAGTGAATGCATTGTTGTCTGGCATTCATGGGGAATGGAGGTTGCCAGTTAATTGAATGTGGTGGATAACAAAGCTTATTGCTCTGCCCCCACCCTGTACCGGAAGATCCGGTTTCCTGCAGCTCAAAGCAGGCTGAGGGGGAAGGCGGTGCCTGATGAGGATGTCAGCCGGCACTTCTGGCTGTCAGAAGCCCTGCAGCAGCCAGTTGGACAGGCAGGAGTCAGGTCCTGAAGACATGGCAGTATTGTGGCAGTGCTAGTGAGATGGGGTGTAGCAACCCCGCACTGGGTCTGAAGTAGTTAACCTGGCCCAGCTGACTGAGAAGGCCCCACCCCCACAGCACTGTTGGACAAGCTCCAAGTGGAGGCTGGCTATAAAAGGCCTCTGGAGCTGCTCAGTCAGGGCTGACTACTGCAGAAGCTCCGGGGAAGGAAGGCAGCGGCCAGGCCAAGAGGAGCTGCAGCGGAAGCTGTGGGACCTGAGTCTGAAGACCTAGAGGACTTCTGACAAGATTCAGGTAGGAAGTAGCCCAGGGCAGAGAATTGCTCCCCGAGAGGTTGTGTGTGTTGTGGTAGAATTCCCGCCGAGCAAGCAATAGGCCATGCCACTGTTAACAGGGCTCTGGGCTGAGACCTGGTAGAGAGGGAGAGCCTGGGTCCCCCTACCCACTTGCTCAGATACCTCCTCATGGGGGAAGCATTGGCTACTCTATATTGACTCTGGTCACAGGGCCGTACTACCCTAATCCTAGATGGATTGCATATTGACTCTGTGGCCCCTGGGCTGTACATCCCTGATCCCTGAAGGACCGTATATTGACTCTGAGGCCAATGGGCCACACTGTATATAAACTGTGAGGCTGCTGGGCCATCCTGTGTGCGTAAACTCTGAGGCCGTTGGGCTGCAATACCCTGAATATAGGGGGATTACATATCGACTGAGGCTGCTGGGCTGCATGGTGTAAGCTGTAGACTTTGTGGCCACTAGGCCATGTTACCCTGAACAAAACCGGGAATGTTTGGACTCTGTAGCCGCTGAGCCATATTGCCCTGAGCACAGGTTGCAGTACTTAGACTTTATGGCTGATAGGCCACCCTGTCTAGAACAGGAGCCTGAGAGGCTGCAGGAGACTTTCACTGTCCTCTCTGGTAGGTGGATAAGGTGCCCCTCAATACCAGTTAAAGTTTTAACAGAGTGCTGGATAACAAAGCTTTCATTGTAATGTTATATTTACAGAATTCTTTTGCTTCCCAAGTATCCTTAGAGGCTTGATTCTGCCATTCCATCACCAAAACTGCTCAAGTAAATGCTATTCAGTGCAAGGAAGGGATGTGAATTAGACTCAACTACAAGCCTAATTACAGCATTGGATACTCATGTAAATGTACCATTGATTGCCATCGGGCCATAGTGAAAGCCAGACTAGGAGCTTATAAATGTACAAAGGGAATTGCTCATCCACCTTTGGGATAGGATGTGAAGACAGATAGGCTACGTCTACACTGGAGGCTTTTTGAGCAAGAACAGTCGTTCTTGAGCAAAAACTTGCGGAGCGTCTACACTGCACGTGCATTCTTGCGCAAGTAAATTACAGTGAAGCATCGGAACAGAGGGCTTCTTGCGCAAGAGTTATTCCTCTCCCTACGAGGAATAAGGCCTCTTGCGCAAGAACTCTTGCGCAAAAAGTTCTTGCGCAAGAAGCCTGCAGTGTAGATGTAGCCATACTGTCTCCAATGAAAATTGCAGGGAAAGCTGAAAATATAGTTACCCAAACTGGAAGAGGCCCAGCAAGACACTGGGTTTAATCCCATTACTGTAATGTCAGTTACTTATTAAAATGAGAAACTGCCCAGTGACGTAGCCATATGCTGGAATTTTGCCGATGCCTAGCGCAAATGCAAATTTATCACATACGGAACAGGAATGTTAGTATATAGTTGTTCAAATGATTAATTGATAAGCCTGGGCTTATTGGTTAATCCAAATGACTACACACCCATTCACTGCTTCTGTATCAGAAGCAGGAAGGGGCGGGAGCGGGAGATGGCTGAAAATCTGGCTCCCCATGAGCATCAGATCCCATGGAGCTGCCTGCCCCTCCACCACTGTGTTGCTGCCTCTGATCTAGAGGCAACAGTGCAGAGGGTGAGAGGGGCAGGTGTGAGCTGATACACATGGGCAGCTGGCTTTTAAGCCAGCTCTCCACACATGCCTCCCCCTCTCTTGCTTCCTCTCACAGAGGCTGTGTAACCACTAAAAACGGTTACAGCTACATGATTTCTAAAATAAATGACATCTAACATCCCTAATACTTAGGGCAACAAAACAGTCACAGATCGTAGGTGCAGTCCTCTGGACTGAGGAACTTGGAGGGATCTTTACTCCTGAACAGAATCCCACTTGGGCACACCGGACTCAGTGCTGCTGCTCTAACCCTAAACAGAAATTGAACGCTAAATTCTCCTCCAGTAATGAAGATAAGCAGCACTGAAAGAGCAACAATGAAACGAACGTGCCCATGATTTTTTAAATGTTATATACACACACACAATTGTATTCACACACACACATGCAGCCAGCATCTGAAAGCTAAAAACAGACACACTTGGGTAAAAAAAACCCAGGAACCTGCCTTAACTCCATCAACATACTTTAGACAGAGGGCACACAATGGAAACAATATTTTGCTAAAAAATATATGCCATTTGTATGTAGGAAAAAGCAGAAACACAGGCGCAACAATTAAGATTAATAAAAATGAATTAGATGAACAATAATAATGTTTCACCGTTAAACACACATTAACAGAATTGTATCAGGGAGATTATTAGTATTATCCCCATTTTACAGAAAACAGT